AGAAAGAGAGGGGGTGACCACTGTTGTTGCATTTCCCTCAGCATTGATGCAAGTTCCTCTCCTTCTCACTGAAGTGACTTTCGGAGGATTTAAAGAACTGACGCCTTTTCCTTCTCCCTTAATTTTTCTCTTTTTCCCCTTTTGAGAGCCAGATCTTGAAGACATTCTAAAGCAACCACATTTAAGGGAGAAATTGGAAAGTCACCACAGAAGCCCACGGGAAGGTGCAGGTTCACAAAAGATTTCAGAAGACCTGATTTTAACACCTCAGGTACAGCTCAGTACAGACCACCTAGAACATTTAAAAACTTTTTAACTATCAAAATAAAAAAAAAAAATCCCTGGGCAAGGAGGGGAATCTGATTTGCAGAATTACCACAATTCTGGTATTCTGGTTCAAGTTGATGTTTGGAAAAAAAAAAATTAGAGCAGAGTTACCACATTATTACATTCAAATCTCCACTTTTCAACAAAAATCACAAGGCATGCTAAGAAGGAGAGAAGTACGGCCCATTCAAAGGGAAAAATAAGCCAATACAAATTGTCCCTGAAAAAGAATTGATGGCAGATCTACTAAACAAAGATACTAAAACAATGGTTTTAAAAATGTTCAAAGAATTAAAGGTCAAAATGGTAAAACTAAAGAAAACTATGTGTGGGCAAATTGTAAATATGAAAAGAAAGCAGTGCTATGGGGGAAATTTATAGCTTCAAATACCTACATTATTTTACAAGATGAGGCTGGGCGCAGTGACTCACGCCTGTAATCCCAGCATTTTGAGAGATAGAGGTGGGTGGATCACTTGAGGCCAGGAGTTGGAGACAGGCTTGGCCAACATGGCAAAACTCCGTCTTTACTCAAAATACAAAAATTAGCCGGGCAAGTGGTGCATGCCTATAGTCCCAGCTACTCAGGAGGCTAAGGCAGAAGAATTGCTTGAGCCCGGGAGGCAGGGGTTTCAGTGAGCCAAGACAGCACCACTGCACTCCAGCCTGGGCAAGAGAGCAAGACTCCATCTCAAAACAAACAAACAAAAAAACACAAAAGATCAACCTCAAATCAACAACCTAACTTTACAGCTTAAGGAACTAGAAAAAGAACAAATTAAACCCCAAGTGAGCAGAAAGAAGGAAATATTAATAATAAAGATTAGAAAAGAGATAAACGAAGACAGTAGAAAAATAATACAGAAAATCAATGAAACCAAAAGTTGGTTCTTCAGAAAGACCAACAAAATTGACAAACTTTACCTAGATGGACTTATAGAAAAAAAGGGAAAACACTAATTACCAAAATCAGAAATGGTAAATCAGTGGTAAACACTACTACTGTTCTATAGAAGTAAAAAGATTGTAAGAGTGTTATAAGCAACTGTACACCAGCAAATTAGACAACCTAAATGAAAACAGGGAAGTAATCCAAGTGTCCAAGAAATGAATGGATAAATACAATGTGTTATATACAATGAAATACTATTCAGCTTTAAAAAGGAAGACAAATCTGATATATGCTACAATATGGATGAACTTTAAGAATATTATGCAAAGTGAAGTAAGTAAATCAAAACAACACAAATATTGTATGATTCCAATTATATAAAGTCCTACAGTTAACTGTAAAACAGCCTCAGGCAGTAAAAGGCATTGTATCATAGGAGATGACAGCTCCATGCATGGTACTGCCCCTGAAGACCTCCCATGGGACAAGATGTGAAGGCAGAAGACAATAATATTGATGATTCTATGTAGGCCTTGGTTAACGTATATGTGTCTTTATTTTTGACAAAAAAATTTTTAAAGTACAAAAAAATAAAAATTTGTAAAAATAGTCAAAAGCTTATAAAGATATAAAGAAAATATTTTTATATAGTTGTACAATGTGTTTTAAGCTAAGTGTTATTTCAAAAATCAAAAAGCTTTTTTTTAATTTACAAGTTTATAAAGTAAAAAAGTTATAGTAAGCTAAGGTTAATTTATTTATTACTGAAGAAAGAAAAGTTTTTGGGCCGGGCATGGTGGCTCACCCTGTAATCCTAGCACTTTGGGAGGCCAAGGCAGGTGGATCACTTGAGGTCAGGAGTTCGAGACCAGCCTGTCCAACATGGTGAAACCCCGTCTCTACTAAAGATACAAAATTTAGCCAGGCATGGTGGCACATGCCTGTAGTCCCAGCTACTCGTAAGGCTGAGGCAGGAGAATTGCTTGAATCCACTGCAGAGGTTTCAGTGGGCCAAGATCGCGCCTCTGCACTCCAGCCTGGGCAACAGAGTGAGGCTTTGTCTCAAAA